GGTGTATTGGGATGAATGACTACGGATTAGGTAGGACATTCAACTATAGCCTTCAGGACATTCAACTATAGCCTTCTCGCTTTCACAGCTGACAGCCAGGAACGACCTGGCCATTTGTCTCTGGAAATCTGCTTCTAAAGAAAGGAAATGTTTTTTTAAAGTGCAAAAAACAGGCTCGGCGCCTGTGGCTCAAGCGGCTAAGGCGCCAGCCACATACACCTAAGGTGGCGGGTTTGAATCCCCAGCCCGGGCCCGCCAAACAATAATGATGGCTGCAACCAAAAAATGGCCGGGCCCTGTGGCGGGCGCCTGTGGTCCCAGCTACTTGGGAGGCTGAGACAGGAGACTCGCTTGAGCCCAGGAGTTGGAGGTTGCTGTGAGCGTGATGCCATGGCACTCCATCCAGCAGGACAGCTTGAGGCTCCGTCTCAAAAAAAAAAAAAAAAAAGTGCAAAAACAGGAAGGACTAGAAACGGCATGGTATGAGCTTCATTTTTTCCCTCTGCAGGTCAATATTAAGATATCACCCCTCCATTTCTGCTTCAGATTCTGTTATTTTTTATGGCTTTTTTATGGCTATCAGAGTGTGTGTGGGTGCATGCATTTAAATACTTCCATATTTGGTCATTAGGACACGTGATCCCTTTTTTCTCATACATGCCTTAATGAGACATAGGAAGCACCATGCCATGCTCTCAAAATGAAACACACACAAAGATCCTAAGACTCTTCCTCTACTTGGGAATTTATCCATGCATTACTATCATTTTTTCTACAGTAATCCCAATATGGTGGGTTACATGTATTTAATATTCTTAAAGACAAGGGGCAGGCAAGAGAAATGCAAAATGTTTAAAGCAAACAGATCTATAGCTCACATGGTACTTTTCCAGGGTGTTGGACTAATGGTGAAAATGCAAAGGAAAAGGCCTAAAACTTAACCATGACTGCTTAAGACTGGTAATAAAATGTTTCCTGCTGGGCTTTTAAGAGCTCTCTGTAACTTCACCACCAAAGACTCAGCACTGCCCCAAAGCTCTTTTGTAATTGGCTTTTACTGCTTTAATTATCCAAGGCAAGGCGGGACAGATTTACTCTACCTAGAAGGTTATTATCTTTGCTCACTAGTGGCTAGCAGCAGCTCTTTACCTCTCACACTTCATGCCCGGCCTCCAGAATTAGTACCTTATTATAGGCTGGCCTTTCTTCCAATTACCACATGTCTCAATTGAGCAGTTACTTTATTGTCTTGTTCATGCACTAGTTCAAGGTCTTGGGCTCCCCAGCTATAATAAATCCTAAACTTCTCCAAGGCAGTTGCTGTGCTTTGGGTTTCTTATCTCTTTAAGCCCATGAGAACCCTAGGAACTTGCGGTTATGCAAACACTAATTGTCTGAAGAGTTTCTAGATGTCTTTTTTGAGTATGGTATACACTAGGAATCTGGTCTCTATGCATGCCTACTCAACCCTCCTACCAGATCCACAGGCTTCTTTGCTATTGAGGGCTCTCTCCTTAGCTACTTGGAGTTAAGCTCTACTCTGTCCCTGTTCAACCTTTTCCCTTATCTAAAAGGGTGTGGAGAAACAAACACAGGGACTTCCTATTAGTACCACATTCCATATTCCTCTAGAACAGCAGTTCTCAACCTGTGGGTTGTGACCCCTTTGGGGGTCAAATGAACCTTTTATAGGGGTTGCTCAAAGACATCCTGCATATCAGATATTTACATTATGATTCATAACAGTAGCAAAATTACAGTTATGAAGTAGCAACAAAAATAATTTTATGGTTTGGGGTCACCACAACATGAGAAACTGTACTACAGGGTCGTGACATTAGAAAGGTTGAGAACCACTGAAAAAGAATTCAGTGAGTTTATGCCTGAAATGACTCCTTGCTTTTTGAATTAATTCTAACTATAGTGTCTCCATTATCAAATACTCTGGTGAATGAACTAGAGCCTAGGGGGAGACTGTATAAGGAGATGGTTAGTAGTACAGGCCTGAGAGCTAGAATGCCTGGCTCAAATCTTGGCTCTGTTATTTACTAGTTATATGACCGACCTATAACCTTGGTAAGGTGTTTAACCCTCTCTGTGACTTAGTTTCCCAATCCATAAAATAGGGTATAGTGCTTGCTTCATAGGGCTGCTGTGAGAACTGAATAAGTTAATCTTCATCAAGTGCTCAGAACAGTGGTTCTCAACCTTCCTAATGCTGTGGCCCTTTATCATAGTTTCTGTGGGTCGTGACCCACAGATTGAGAACTGCTGGCTTAGAACAATGCTAAGTAGTGGCATTAACTGTTAAAGAAAATTAACAGTATAGGCTTTTAGAATAGACAGACCTACAAAATAGAGGCCCCCCCCCCAGATGATTTGATAGTGACAGAAAAACAAGCTGGTTTTTAGAATAATGTCACCATGACTTTTTGTTCTTTTTTTTTTTTTCAGACGAAATCTCACTCTGTTGCCCAGACTAGGGTGCTGTGGCATCACTCTAGCTCACAACAACCTCAAACTCTCGGGTTCAAGTGATCCTCCTGCCTCAGCCTCATAAGTAACTGGGTCCTCACAAGTAACAGGTGCCTGCCACAATACTCTAGCTAATTTTCTCCCTTTTTAGTAGAGATGGGGTCTTGTTCTTGCTCAAGCTAGTCTCAGCTCAAGTGATTCTCCCATCTTGGCCTCCTAGAGTGTTGGATTATAGGCATGAGCCATCATCCTTGAGCTCTTTTTTCGGGCTATCATACATTCTTTCAATTGCTCCAATAAACTGAAAAAGGGCTCAGTGCCTGTGGCTAAAGTGGCTAAGGCACCAGCCACATACACCTAAGGTGGCAGGTTCGAATCCAGCCCAGGCCCACGAAACAACAATGACAGCTGCAACCAAAAAAAGAGCCGGGCGTTGTGGCGGGCGCCTATGGTCCCAGCTACTTGATAGGCGAAGGCTGGAGACTCGCTTGAGCCCAGGAGTTGGAGGTTGCTGTGAGCTATGATGCCACAGCACTCTACCCAGGGGGACAGCTTGAGGCTCTGTCTAAAAATAAAATAAAAATGAAAAATAAACTGAAAAAGAACTCTGAATTTATGAGTTTTAAAGATGTCTAATGCACTATCATAGCAAAGGTGATAAAAATGCTCTGGCAGCATTTAAGTAGACTAACTAGAGAAGGTGTCATTGTTTTAGAAGACAATTTAAAAGGAACATTTTACTGTTTATCTCTCTCATATCTACTTAGTCTAATATTTCAGACATTATTCATAACATTATTTAGTAAATATTGCTGACCCTTCTCCAGCATGGAACCTTTTTTCAATTGTCAGGGGGACAGCTCAAATATTCCATATTTTTAAAAGCACAATAAAAGATTTTTATATAAAGATGACTCCATAGTATCCAAACTCAGACTTTTTTCCCTGTGTCTTTTCTGATCTGTCAATCTGCTGCCATATTATAATATAAATCCTCTGTCACCTTCCACATACCCTAGCTATTAAAATGCTATCTCCAAGGTCTTTTCTTTCCGAACAATCTCTAGCACAAAATATCATTTCTAACATCAGTAATTCCTTGTTCTCACACAGAGTTCTTCACATAAAATCCAGCTGTCCAACCACACACAAAATCATCTATGCACCACATCAGATGGGGCAAATCTGCCTTCTAGGAAAGAAACTCTTCTAGCTTCATGTCTCTGAGTTTCCCTGGAGGACAAAGTCCAACCCTAAAAGATGTGTTCCCTTTAGGTGCACCTGTAGAGGACTCTGCAGAAACATTAAGAAACACCTAATGTCCAGACTAGTAAAAAGTGAATCATCTATTTTGGAGGTCAGAAGTTTAGTGCTTAGAAACGTGGGCAGGCACTTCCTCTCTGTACTCTTCTCAGACCCTCCTCCCAGGCCCACTGTGCCCACTAATGTCCCTATCATAGCTCTAACCACCATGTTCTGTGGCTATGTTGGCTCTGGAGCCTTCAGCTCTGCCTGGGAGGCTTCTCTGGGCATAAAGTGTGTATTGTCTTAGGATTTCAAAGCTAGCACAAAACCCGGCCATAGTAGTCTCCCATTAGTTATCTGTGAAATTGTATTTGAAGCTATTGTCTAAGAAACATCAACTATTTTTTGATGGTTGGCTGTCAAGGGTTATTTTCACTTTTGAGAACAAAGAAGTTCCTTAAAAATGGGACATCAGTAGAGTCATCAGACACCCTTCTTGCTTCAACCAATTTGGGTTAAATTTCCCCCATTTATCCACAAGACTCTTTTATAACTTGTATCTTGCCCTGTCTGCCCTGCATTCATGAGCTCCTTCGGTGACCCCAGCTTCACCTACCAAGTATCCTCTCTGGATATTCAAGGGCCATACTTGGCCACTGCACGGGTTGGCCTCCAGCCTCAGGTAGCTGTCTATAGCTCCCATTCCCATCAAACTGGGACTTCCAGTGCCCGCTAGGAAACCCAGACACCGCATACCTCGCCGGCGCCAGTTTCTAAGACCTCCCTGATACTTACTGCCTTTGGGACAATACACTGGCGACCACCGAGGCAAGGGGACCCTGCAAGGTAATGAATGGATCAGCGTTTAATCTGCCGGGGGTTGGGGGAGTAAGTGGGGGGTGGGAGCGAGCCAGCTAGAGAGCAAGAGATATTCCTGGGTGGAGGGGTGGGGATGCCTAGTGACTTAAGTGCCCTCCACTCCCAGCCGGGACCTTTCTACCGAGAACGACCTAAAGAGGGCTTCGTCGCCTTTCTTCAACAATCCTACGGACCACGGAAGTGGAGGGGGGGCAATAGCCCCCCACTGGCCAATCACGACTTCCGCCTCTCTCTCTCACACACACACTCTCTCCCTCTCTCACGATCTGCTACTTCAACTCAGCTCTGAGCAAAGTACGCCGCACGCCTCTCCCCACCTCTCTCATTGCTAGCTGCCGGCCGGTGCCACTCGCCTCACCCCAGCTTCTTCACTGCCACCCCAGTTCTCCCTCCCAACTGACCGTGAAGCCGGAGGCAGTTCCCCAGTCCCAGGCCCCCAAAGGGGCTCCTGCTGCCGCCGCCGCCGCCTCCTCCCGCAGCCCCCAACCTGGGACCCGGCCCCAGGCTGCTGTGATGGCTCCCTGGCACGAGGCGCCGCGGCTCGCTGGACTCCGCCAGACACCGGGCGGCGCGCAGGAGAAGCCCATGGAGCTCCGGGCAGTGGCAGCGGCCGCGGCTGCGGGAGCGGCCGCCGCGCTGGCTGATGACGCACAGACGTGGGGTGGGGGCGGTCGGTGCGGCAGCTACGCGGGCTGATGACGTGTTTGCTGGCGGGGCGGCTCGGAAGCATGGCGTCGGTGGCGCTGAGCGAGGCGGAGAAGGTTTACATCGTGCATGGCGTCCAGGTAACTACAGTAGCGGCGTCGGCAGCAGTCGACTCTCAGTTCGCTGGGGTGGAGGCAGCCGCGAGTCTGGGTTTACCTTGTGATTTGACGGTTCTACGGCCGGCGTTTGCAGTCCTACGCCTGCAAAGGACTGTTAGTCTGCTTGCAGCTTTCATGGTCAAGAAGATTGCGACCCCGGGCAGGTGGTGTTGGGCAGTCGCAGAGGCCTTTCAGCCGTCGCTTACTTCACAGGGCCGAGCCCCAGTTTTGTCTTCGAGGAAATGGGAATTTAGAGGCGGGCTTTTGGCTCGCTTTTCCTTACTTGGTTGGGAGGCGCAGAGAAAAAATGCACCCTAGGTGAACGCGGTTTGAAAATATAAATCGGGCTCAGCGCCTATAGCTCAACCGGCTGGGGCGCCAGCCATGTACACCTAAGGTGATGGGTTCAAATCCCCAGCCCG